ACGATGATGGCCTTGCACTGCTCCAAGTCCTGCATCTGCTGTAGGAATACGCAGATATACTGAAGCTCCTCCTCGTCCGTCGCCTCGAAGTAGCAGATCACGTTGGGGTCCTGGCATGCTGTCAGGCAAACCGCGAGGGCTTCTGCCCGTTCTGCACTGGCCAGACGCACCTTCAGCGTCGGAGTCAGAGAGAAGGGCAGAGGATCTGGGCACGCTTCCAGGACCTTCCTGAGAGCTACGAGGTCACTTTCGTCGTCCAGCGTGCACACACTGCTGCACCCGCGCTCGGCCACCCGGGTAAAGACGTCTCCGAGCGCGCTAGTGACGGCCGCCACGTGCACCTGCAGCACCTCGGGCACGCCCAGCGACGTGTAGCAGAGGGCGGCGGACAGTATGCCTGCCTTGCGGGAGTTTACTTGGTCGCACACCGCGTTCACCAGAAGGGGCGCGCTGCGCTCCGTGATGAGAGGGTCGAGGTGGCACTCGAGCAGGAAGTCGCCAATCGTCTCCCAAGTGACATCCGGGTCGTCCAGGAGTGCCATAACTTCGTCAGCTATATCTGTGGTCATCCGGCCTTTAGAACTCAGTATGGCGACGGTGAAAGTGATCGTTGGCAGGTACCTGAGGTAGTCTGTTGAGTTGGACTCAAAGTCGAGCAAATGGCTCAGTGTGGAGCCCGATCTGGCCAGTTCATGAGCGAGGAAGCGCGCTGCTAAAAACTGCTGCATGACACTGTACTCGAAGTACCACAAGGCTTTTCTCTGATCGAAGCCGCCCACCAGCGCAGAGAACAGCGGGACCTCGTCCAATCTCTCGCTTTCGCACACGGCCTTGAGGTGGCCGAAGCTCTCTCTGGACAGGACAGTAGAGTTATTCTTCAGAGCGACCCAAGCTTCCTTGCTGAGCCTGTTGATCCAGCGCTGCACTCCTTGGTAAAGCAGATGCATGTTTGAGTTGCGGTGCCTCTGCTGCAGATGCCGTTCAGTGAGTCTCTGCATCTTTGAACTGAGCAATATTCTGAAGAGCTCCTGCTTATTGACGTTCCGCCGCACCTTCGCCGAGTCACTGTGCCACAGCTGGAAGAGCAGTGCCAGCGTCATAGGGATATGCAGCATTTCAACAGAGAAGTTTTCCAAATGGCGGATGTCCTGCAGAAGTTTTGAGTCCTTCGTTTTCCCGCTCACAACTCGTAGAGCCTTACGCAAATACTCTCTCCTTGTGGTACTTGTAAAGCCTTGCAACTTCAGGTTTCTCGAAAAGCTGGAGAAAGAGCAGCCTGAGCTCTCCAAATGCAGACGGAGATCCAAGGCAAACTCTGGCCGCAGCGTCACAAAGACTCTCGCCCTGGGCAGCGTCGATAGAGAATGCTGCACCAGCGCCTTGGCCGTGAAGTTCGCTTCGTCCCAGCCATCTGCCACCAGGAGAATATTTGTTCTTCGCATCTTCAGAAGGATGTCGGTACGAGGGGTGTCACTGAAAGTATCTTGCAGGAGCTCATCTGCAAGGTAAGCTGGGAGACTTTCTGAATGAACAGACGAACACCGGATCAAAATCAGGATGTCGACGTCCTTGAGGCACTGCAACGATTGAGGGTCTTTGCACCAGGCACTCACCAGGTAACGACACACGGATGTCTTCCCAACCCCCGCTGTGCCCTCCAGTATTACCACCTGCTGCTGAAAAGCTTGTTGGGGCGGGATTATACGATTCAAGGGGACGATTTCGTGGCCGTTAGATATCTCTGGTTCTGTGAACACCTCTTCCACCAACACGTGAGCTGAGGACGTGTTTTCCCACATCAGTTGCGGGACGATCTGGAAGTCCGTGTACCGACCTTGAAGTTCTTTTCTGGCCTTAGAGAGGAAAGCGATCTTACTTTTATGTTGGTCTTGCAGTATTGCCTCCTTGTCACGCTGGAAGACCTCGGCAGGGACTGGAGGCAACTGCGAATTAACGATTTGCAAGATGTCTTCCTCTAGTTTCTGCACAATTCTGTCCAGGTCAAGGTGTGTCCTGCTGGCGACATGGGCTAGGATGGCTCGTAGGTCGGTTAACAGCTCTTTAGTCCTATCTTGCAATTCAGAGTCACTGATTTTGATCAGACTGTGTGACACGTGATTTCTAAATGTTTTAACTGTTCGCAGGAGGAACTCGAGGGCGTGAGAGGGCACACTCCACACCTTATCACTGCTGGGGGCCAACCCACAGACATTCTGCAACAACTTGTAGAGGAAAGTTATGTCCTTCTGGAAAGGATCCCAGTTCCCTTCTAGTTCATGAAGCTCGTCCCTCGAGAAGAGACCTCTGATACGAGCATTGGAATAGCCGAGAGTAGCCCGACAGTAGGTAAGGACGCCGCTGGACCCTACCTGAGTCAGCGCAACGTACGTGTGAGCCAGGACCAGCGCCGCAGGCCCCTGACGGCGAAACAACGTGAAGTAGCGCAGCACGTTGACGTCGTCGCTGGAGAACCTCGCTGGAGCCGGGGCAGGGGGCAGCA